TGTTTTTTGCAGTGGATGCCCTTCCACCTGTAAACCAGTACTGGGAAAAATCATACACACTCATTTAAACACACATACACTACGGCTAATTTAGTTAATCCTATTCACCTATAGCAGGTGTGTCCACACTTAGTCCTGGAGGGCCGGTGTCCTGGAGAGTTTAGCTCCAACCCTAATCAAACACACCTAAACAAGCTAATCAAGCTCTTACTAGGTATACTAGAAACTTCTAGGCAGGTGTGTTGAGATTAAGTTACCAGGACACCGGCCCTCCAGGACCGACTTTGGACACCCCTAAACTACAGCTAACAAATTTGTACTCTGAGGGAAGCTGGAGCACCCAAAGGAAACGCCAACTGGTCAAGCAGGGACTTGAAACAATGACTTTCTTGCTGTGAGGCCACAGTGCTAACCACTAAGCCACCGTGCCATCACAAAAGAGACTGTTTATTCATTCATTCATTTTCTTTTTGGCTTAGTCCTTTTATTAATCTGGAGTCACCACAACAGAATGAACTGCCAACTTATCCACCATCTGTTTTACACAGCGGATACCCTTCCAGCCACAATCGAGCACTGGGAAACATCCATACACACTCATTCACACTCATACACTACAGACAAATTAGCTTACCCAATTCACCTACCACATGTCTTTGGACTTGTGAGGGAAACCAGAGCACCTGGAGGAAACCCACGCGCACACGGAGAGAACATACAAACTCCACAGAGAAATGCCAACTGACCCAGAAGGGACTTGAACCAGCGACCTTCCTGCTGTGAGGCGGCAGCACTACCTACTGCGCAGAGACTGTTTATATATATATATATATAGTGATTTTTTTTATTTAATTTGCTCACAATTTTTTAGAGCATTAAATAAGATTCTTTTGTTGAAACTGTGGTCTTCTGTGATTCATGAAATATGTCAATGGCTACTGACACTTTGAGGGAAAAAAATGCAGAAATTAATACTTAATGGCTCTTGATGATACATTGAGATTTCATGAAGCTAAACAATGGGTCTGTATAAAATAAGTAAACATTATTTATAAAATTATTCTATTTAATCCACTGCAGCCTCAGCAAACAGTGCTGAGCAATGTCAGTCTGTAATCAAAAAGATACTAAATGGCACTAAATACAGTAACTTGGCCTCAAATGAAAGTCAATTAATAGCAAATGTTAATGTGTAATAGCAAATGTAAATGTTAATTTGTTTTATTTAAAAAACTAACTCTAATATGCTCTCACTGGCTACTTTATTAGGTACACCTTATTAGTGGATCTGGTGACTGTGGAGGCAATTTGAGTACAGTAAACTTATTGTCATGTTCAAGAAGCTAGTTTGAGATGACTCGCGCTGTATGACTCGGCACTTTATCCTGCTGGAAGTAGCCATCAGAAGATGGGTTCACTGTGGTCATAAAGGGATGGATATGGTCAGCAACAATTCTCAGGTGGGCTGTGGAGTTGACACAATGCTCAATTGGTACTAAATTGGCCCAAAGTGTGCCAAGAAAATATCACCCACACCATTACATCACCACCACCAGCCTGAACCATTCACACAAAGAAGGATGGATCTATGCCTTCATGTTGTTGACGGCAAATTCTGACTATAACATCCGAATGTTGTAGCAGAAATCAAGACTCATCAGACCTCGCAACGTTTTTCCAATCTTCTATTGTCCGTGATCATGTGTGATTTGTAGCGTCAGTTTCCTGTTTTTAGCTGACAGAAGTGGCACCCGGTGTGGTAGTCTACTGCTGTAACCCATCCGCCTTAAGGTTCGACATGTTGTATGTTCAGAGATGCTCTTCTGCATACCTCAGTTGTAAAGAGTGGTTGTTTAAGTTACCAGTCTGGTCATTCTCCTCTGACCTCTGGCATCAACAAGGGCCCGCAGAACTGCCGCTCACTGGATATTTTCTTATTTTCTTATTTTCCATTCTCTGTAAACCCTAGAGATAGTTGAGTGTGAAAATCCTAGTAGATCAGCAGTTTCTGAAATACTCAGACCAGCCGTTCTGGCACGGCAGGCACTTTTTTCCAGGGGTTTCAGTACAGCGTAACCGCTATTACGTCATCGGGTGGGCGTGGCCTATATGTGAATTTGCATAGGTCACGGATCATGCGCAGATTGTGAAAACAGCCGTTTGATTCAAATACCTGTACGTATTCGCAGTGGTTTTGTGTCCAATGCCTTTTATATGCAGTACTTTAAAATAGCTGTCCTGATCAGGTGTTTCATGTATGATCACTTTTATATACAGTAACATCAGATACCTGTCCTGATCTCAGGTGTTTCATGTATGATCACTTTTATATACAGTAACATCAGATACCTGTCCTGATCTCAGGGGTTTCATGTATGATCACTTTTATATTATATACAGTAACATCAGATACCTGTCCTGATCTCAGGGGTTTCATGTATGATCACTTTTATATATATTAACATCAGATACCTGTCCTGATCTCAGGGGTTTCATGTATGATCACTTTTATATACATTAACATCAGATACCTGTCCTGATCCCAGGTGTTTCATGTATGATCACTTTTATATACAGTAACATCAGATACCTGTCCTGATCTCAGGGGTTTCATGTATGATCACTTTTATATTATATACATTAACATCAGATACCTGTCCTGATCCCAGGTGTTTCATGTATGATCACTTTTATATACAGTAACATCAGATACCTGTCCTGATCCCAGGTGTTTCATGTATGATCACTTTTATATTATATACAGTAACATCAGATACCTGTCCTGATCTCAGGTGTTTCATGTATGATCACTTTTATATTATATACAGTAACATCAGATACCTGTCCTGATCTCAGGGGTTTCATGCATGATCACTTTTATATACATTAACATCAGATACCTGTCCTGATCTCAGGGGTTTCATGTATGATCACTTTTATATACAGTAACATCAGATACCTGTCCTGATCCCAGGTGTTTCATGTATGATCACTTTTATATTATATACAGTAACATCAGATACCTGTCCTGATCTCAGGTGTTTCATGTATGATCACTTTTATATTATATACAGTAACATCAGATACCTGTCCTGATCTCAGGGGTTTCATGTATGATCACTTTTATATTATATACAGTAACATCAGATACCTGTCCTGATCCCAGGTGTTTCATGTATGATCACTTTTATATACATTAACATCAGATACCTGTCCTGATCCCAGGTGTTTCATGTATGATCACTTTTATATACATTAACATCAGATACCTGTCCTGATCTCAGGGGTTTCATGTATGATCACTTTTATATACAGTAACATCAGATACCTGTCCTGATCTCAGGTGTTTCATGTATGATCACTTTTATATTATATACAGTAACATCAGATACCTGTCCTGATCTCAGGGGTTTCATGTATGATCACTTTTATATACAGTAACATCAGATACCTGTCCTGATCCCAGGTGTTTCATGTATGATCACTTTTATATTATATACATTAACATCAGATACCTGTCCTGATCTCAGGTGTTTCATGTATGATCACTTTTATATACAGTAACATCAGATACCTGTCCTAATTCCAGGTGTTTCATGTATGATCACTTTTATATTATATACATTAACATCAGATACCTGTCCTGATCCCAGGTGTTTCATGTATGATCACTTTTATATACAGTAACATCAGATACCTGTCCTGATCTCAGGTGTTTCATGTATGATCACTTTTATATACAGTAACATCAGATACCTGTCCTGATCCCAGGGGTTTCATGTATGATCACTTTTATATACAGTAACATCAGATACCTGTCCTGATCCCAGGGGTTTCATGTATGATCACTTTTATATACAGTAACATCAGATACCTGTCCTGATCCCAGGTGTTTCATGTATGATCACTTTTATATTATATACAGTAACATCAGATACCTGTCCTAATCTCAGGGGTTTCATGTATGATCACTTTTAAATACAGTAACATCAGATACCTGTCCTGATCCCAGGTGTTTCATGTATGATCACTTTTATATTATATACAGTAACATCAGATACCTGTCCTGATCCCAGGGGTTACATGTATGATCACTTTTATATTAGTTAACATCAGATACCTGTCCTGATCCCAGGGGTTTCATGTATGATCACTTTTATATTAGTTGACATCAGATACCTGTCCTGCTCTCAGTTGTTTTGTGTATGATGACTTTAAATAAAAATAGAAAATAAATATGAGTTATGTTAATTAACTAAGATTGAGAAAGAAAAATTATCCACGGTTTATTACAGAAAAATGTGGTATTTATTTGTTTAAACATGACTGAATACCATATTTTAAACTACAAAAACACGGTTAATCTTACCACAACCATTATTACTTGGTTTACGTTACCATGGAAGTACAAAAGCCCAGAGACAGTAAAACGGAGTAAAACGAGGTCATCTGTTTTTGCTAATGAAATCTTTAAAATATAACATTATAAAAACAAAACAAAAAATAACCTGTATGATTGTTTTTTTTCCTTCGTTATCCACCGCGGTAGGTTCTTTATCCATAATCATCCGGTTTGAAATGACCGCGCTAAAAAAGAACATGTACTGCGCATGATCGGTGACCTCTCAGTATTGTTTTTTTTCTTTAAGGGGGCGTTTCCCAAACGCCGACCAAGCCACGCCCATTTTACGTCGTGGTAATGAAACCCCTGGAATTTAGTGCATGCCGTTCTGGCACCAACAACCATGCCACGTTCAAAATCCCTTAAATCCCCTTTCGTCCCCATTCTGATGCTCGGTTTGAACTGCAGCAGATCACATTGACCATGTGTACATGCCTTAATGCATTGAGTTCCTGCCACGTGATTGGCTGATTAGAAATTTGCATTGACGAGCAGTTGGACTGGTGTACCTAACAAAGTGGCCGGCAAGTGTATATATTTATAGACTAAGAGAACCAAAGCACATAATACAGTTTATATTTAGCAGGTGCAAACTCACAATATAATAGTCGGCTGGAGGTTGTCTCTTGGATGCCAGTACACCGACATCACTGACGGCTTCAGGCAGCACGCCTAATTTAGCACCGGAGATATCCTGAAGATCGGCCATGCCTGCTGCACGAGACAAATAAAAGTTCAAAATCACACCTTCACTTACAGCAGCTTATTTTTACAGCAAAACAGCTCGCACATCCCACCAACGCAGCTCTTCTGCATAAATAACATCTAAAATACAGGAAGAAACCGCAAAACGCTTGAAAGGTGTGAATTTATTGCCGCGGGAACACTTGAGAATCTAATTTTATTTTCACATTAAAACAGTATATAAATATATTAAGGCACTTATTTTATTTCCAAGCCTTACTGTTTGACGTGTTTAGCTGGCAATCAGTAACTGTTTTCGAGTGTATGTGTTGACAATAAGTTTGGCAAACAAAGACACAAGAAAACAGACCTACACTTGGATTCACAGGTGAGATAGTGAAAGAAAGAGAAAAAAAAGTTATAAATACATAAAAGTAAACTCTGATGAAGGCTTTTCAGTACAAGACTGAACTCCCAGTGTCAGTAAACTGAATGATAGTCATTGTGTTAATAGCTGGGCGTTTGAGTCTCCTAAAAAGCAGAGAAACAATCATGCGGCAGGTCTCGTTTGTACACTAAATAAGCAGCGCAGACACAGACAATAATACTGCTGAGGGTCCAATTAGCAGGGTAATTAATTACTGCAAACCTTTTTCCCCCTCCTGTAATGAGCTCCAGATATATGGAGTGGGCTGACATTATGTTCTGAACTGTTTCAGATGAAATGGTTTTAGTGGCGGTTGTATATAAAGATGAGGGATCTTCAGTCTCGCATTAAAGAGTGGGAGTAAACTTTTCACTGCGTAAATGCCAACCAGCAAATCTCTGGAAATGAGCTAGTGCCTGCAGTATATATGGCCTCTTCCCAATTCGGTGGTACAGCATGTTGTACATTTATAGAGATATTACAGTATTACAGAATGTGGGATTTCTGTTATGCATGGAAAATTGTTAAAGAGCTATTAAAGGGGACCTATTATGCAATAATCACTTTTATAATGGGTTTAAACACAGTTGTGGGAACAGTCTGTGAATATAACCAGCTTCTAATGATAAAACATTATTAATTAGATTTTTTTTTTAATCACACTTCATAAAAACAGTCTGATTGACATTCTTCCTTTGAATGTGTCATAGAAGGGGAAAGCCCCACACATTAGTGTCAATCTCTCCTTTATTAGGATGTTAGTGTTGTTTTTAAATCTGCCACTATGCTGACACATGGCCATTTGTAGCTTTGCACTCATTTGGGGAAAAAAACAGCAACAAAGCCCCCTTTAAGATAAAAAAAGCTTAAGGCATACATTGTGTTGAGTATTAAAGACTACAGAGGAAAATAGAAGCAACAAAAGAGCAATAATATAGGCTGCTGTGACAATTATCTCCTTCTTTGTGTTTGTTATGTTTAAATAAATAAATAAATAAATAAATAAATAAAATAATCATTATTTAATTATTAATTTATTTATTTATGTATTTGCTAATTTTCAATGCCTATGCTGTTTTAGCACACATATTTTACACAAACCAGATAAGTATATTTATGGTAGGTGCAAAACCACCCTAATCAATCAATAGAATATAGAAAACTTAAGCAGTTGTTTAAAACGGTAGTGATGTGCTTGTATTCGCGGAATTATAATGTGACTTTTAGAGCAGGAGGATTCACTGAATCAGAAAAGTTATTCTTTCTACCTAAAATTTATTTTAATTAATTAAAAATTTTATTCAAATGGATCAAATATATTTAAATATACTGCAGCAATTGTCATTTTGTCTGAAATGTTGGTAAATGACACTGCTTTGTTAAGCTGTCTTCAGACTGAAAGGAGAATTGTGATCTGTTTTAAAAGAAATAATAATAATAATAATAATAATAATAATAATAATAATAATAATAATAATAATAATAATAATAATAAAAATAATAATGATGATAATGATGATGATGATGATGATGATGATGATAATTTTCCAGAACTGGGTTGCAGTTAGAGGGGCATCTGCTGCATAAAACATATGCTGCAATAGTTGATGATTCATACGGCAGTGGCAACCCCTGATAAATAAGTGACTAAGCTGAAGGAAAATGAATGAATGAGGAAGATGATTTTTAGAGCATTGTGAAACACAAAACAAAAGGCTCATACAAAAAAACTCAATGAGGTGAGGTCATACTAGCACAAGTTTTACTTGTTTATGGTATTAGTTGATGAACTAACACTGAGCACTATATTATTATATTTATTTAAAATGTGTTAATATTTATACTTATCTCTATATTTAGAATTGTACATTTAATATATTAGTCTCAAAACATGATTAATGCAATATAAATTGCATTGTTTATGCAATAGCACCAAGAACACATCTAAAGGCTACACTAGATGCAGTTTTTGAATGCTAAGATTGTGATTACATCTAAACAGTCAGTTAATAATTCTTATTATAAAAGTAGGCTATAGAGAAGAAAGCTCTGCCTCATTTACATTAATATATTCGAAGATTTGGTTAATGTCATATATTCGAATAATGAATTAGCACAACACTTGGAATTGATACTACTTGGTAATGTAATGTTTTAGTTTGTCCACACTGTAATTTGTTTTTTTGTTTATTTTTAGACCCTAATCTCTGCTCTGTTGACGTGTGGCGTTGAAAATTCAATTGTGCAATTTAACAAAGTAAAATTCATCAACATTTTAGTAGTTTAAATCACTATTTTATACGGTAAATAATATAGAGAGAATAAAGACCATAAAATAACAGAAATAGTTCAGGCAGTTTGTTTACAGGTTTTTGAACTGTAATTTACAACACCAAGCCAGACAGTATTTCACTTCACATTATTCAAAATATCAGTGAGTCACTTTTTCAAACTTTTCAACATCAAAAGTTCATTTGTTCATTTTCGTTTCAGCTTAGTCCCTTTATTAATCTGGTGTTGCCACAGCAGAATGAACTGCCAACTTATCCAGCATATGTTTTACACAGCTCTTCAATGCCCTTCCAGCTGCAACCAAGCCATACACACTCAGTCACGCACATACACTAGGGACAATTTAGCTTACCTAATTCACCTGTACCGCATGTCTTTGGACTTATGGGGGAAACCGGAGCACCCGGAGAAAACCCATGCGAACAGGGGGAGAACATGCAAACTCCACACAGAAATGTCAACTGACCCTGCCGAGGCTCTAACTAGCGACCTTCTTGCTTTGAGGCAAACGTGCTACCCACCACATCGCCAACAAGATAAAAAGTTATAAGAGGAAAATTAAGCTCCAGTAATGCGATTCAAATAAGTAAACAAACAAATAAATAAATAGATAGATAGATAAATAAATAAATAAATAAATAAATAAATAAATAAATAAATAAATAAATAAATAAATAAATAAATAAATAAATAAATAAAAACAAAATAGGGAATACTGTTGTTTTTTTACAAAGTGATATATGAGCAATTCCATGAAAATGTCAACCTTTACAAAAATAAAAACCAGTTTAAATGAGCTCATTAAGGTCTATATTTTAATGTAATGATGTGCTCTCGTGCTCTCAAGAAAATTGCTTTATTTATCTATGAAATATGATGCTTGTGCCAATGGTAAATTTCATTTTCATCCAACCACATTTCATGCTTTCAAAAAAGGGGTTAAAGACTCACCTTTGCCATGCTTTATGTTACAGTAAGCATTCTGCAGAAGTATTGGGGTCTGTAGTATAAATAATTACACTCACTTTTTCATAACATCACTGCCTTTTTAATTTAAGAGCTACATATTTACGACATGCAGCACGGTGGCAGAGTGAGTAGTGCTCTCGCCTCACAGCAAGAAGGTCACTGGTTCGAGCCTCGGCTGTCAGTTGGCGCTTCTGTGTGGAGTTTGCATGTTCACCTCGTGTTTGCGTGGGTTTCATCCGGGTGCGCTGGTATCCCCCAGAAGTCCAAAGACATGCGGTACAGGTGAATAGGGTAAGCTAAATTTTCTGTAGTGTATGTGTGTGTATGAGTGTGTATAAATGTTTCCCAGTGATGTGTTGCAGCTTGAAGAGCATCCGCTGTGTAAAACATATGCTGGATAAGTTGGCGGTTCATTCTGCTGTGGCGAACCCAGATTAATAAAGGGACTAAACCAGTGATGTCTAAACTCGGTACAGGAGGGCCAGTGTCCTGCTTAGTTTAGCTCCAACTTGCTTCAACACACCTACCAGGAAGTTTCTAGTACATGTAAGAGCTTGATTAGTTGGTTGAGGTGTTATTGTTTAGGGTTGGAGCTAAACTCTCCAGGACACTGGCCCTCTAGGACCGAGTTTTTACACCCCTGGACTAAGCCGAAAAGAAAAAAATTTAATGAATGAAATTTAAGAAATAACAAAGCTTCAATCATGTCCGCAACATATTAAAAATTTCTTATTGTGTAATTAACATTATCACAAATAAAATTAAACTTTATATGCAAAGCCAAAATATGTCCATGCTAAATATGATCGACAATTCATCTCAGGTCTTTGCTCTAAACGACCATAATTTTGTGTTACTGATGTGATCATTTTGAACTATATAAGCAAATGACTAGTGCATATTTGTTTATTATGATGCTGCGTTACAATTACTGACTTACATAATATCTATGTTATATCAATAAATTGAACATTTCAGTTAAACATAAACCACCTCAGTAACATTTCAAAAACAAATGTTTAATAAAGAGTACATAACGATTTACATATTGCCATAATCTTGGTGCATAATCTTGGTGTTTTGGCGATGCATCATAGTGGACCTTGTGCTGAAGCACTCCCTGTTTATTTTGTAGATAACTGACCATCGAATAATATTTTAAATAATTAAGATACAATTTATACCAAACAAAATTCAAGAAGATATTTTTCCAAGAAAAATATATTAAGTGTATATTTTTGTTTGTGCCCGTCTTACACAACTGTACGAGAGAATGATTTGTTCCGTTCCAAAAACAAAAATAACAAAATATGGAATACTGTTTTTTTTTTCTTTTTTTTTTTACAATTTACAATGTAATATCATAATACAGTTGAAGACAGAATTTTTTGTCTACCTTTAATTTTTTTTTCTTTATTAAAAGTTCACAAAACTTTGAGTACTTTTTTTGAGATTTTAAATAATTGTGTGTGCTGAGCTTCACTTAAGACAATGTTAGCACCTGCTAGCTGTAATTGTGGGAAAAAAATGGATAATTTTGAGCTTTTGTCAGCTAATTTCAGCTTCCAGGATTAAAATGATTTTTGTAATGAAATCAGCGACTTATCGCAAAACTGCAAGTGCAAAGATGACATGTCGGTTTCTCATTATTATTTCTTATCCTATGAGAAGAGCCTGCTTCTTAATTATTTATGACTGCTCGTGCTTTCCGAAGGCAAAGCAGACCTGCCAGGGCCAAGCTGTGAGACACAGACCCATGGCACACAGTATTTAGCTGTTAATGAAGGGTCGTATGTGTTTGTTTCCATGATCATCTAGTTTGTTGCATGTTTTTCCCCACGATGCTGTCAGGGCCGATACAGCAAAGCAGTTTGTGTGCAGCAAGCATTTTTGTCGGAAGAGCAGTACGAGAATTGAAGAATGGCAGACGTTGGCTTTTATCAGAAGTTTGTTCACATTTAAACACATCGCCATGCTGGTTTGTTTGCCTAAATCCTCTATACCAACAGGGCTAATGGTTAAAACAGACAGGGCAAGAGACCTGCAGCACTGAGTATGCATTCAGACCTATGATTCAGACCCGGGGATTGAGGAAAAAGTCCTCATTTATAGTGTTTATATGAACACGTTTATCTTTATAATGATATAAATTGTGGTTATCTGTATATGAAATTACGAATAACAAATGTAGCAGTGCATTCAATTACTGCTTATTTCTTTGCATTTCAAATTTGTAAACTATAAAATCATGCGTCTCCTCACGGTTTGTGTCTCATTTTTTGAGTCAACTGACAACAGTTGTTCGCTTCTCTCCTTCTCCCCTGCTGGCCACGCCGACTCCTGCCCGGTTGCTCGCGGAGCTCCACGCCCATTTTGATGCTTCGTTTGAAAAAATTCTGAGGTAGACCTAAACCAAAAGTGGGGAGTTTCACAGTAATTTTCACAGTATGTATGATAACATTTTGTTCCTCAGCAGAAAGTCTTATTTGTTTTATTTCGGCTAGAATGAAAGCAGTTTTTCAAATTTAAAAAAAAACATTTTAAGGTAAAAATTATTAGCCCCTTTAAGCTATATTTTATACTTGCCTAATTACCCTAACCTGCCTAGTTAACTTAATTAACCTAGTTAAGCCTTTAAATGTCACTTAAAGCTGTATAGAAGTGTCTTAAAAAATATCCAGTCAAATATTATTTACTCTCATCATGACCAAGATAAAATAAATCAGTTATTAGAAATGAGTTATTAAAACTATTATGCTTGAAAATGTGTTGAAAAAAAATCTTCTCTTCGTTAAACAGAAATTGGGGAAAAAATAAACAAGAGGGCTAATAATTCAGGGGGCTAATAGTTCTGACTTCAACTGTTAATGTATCATGATGTTGTGACCACACTAACACACAGCAGTCAAATGCCTACCACAAATTAGGCGCAACTCACGTCTAATACAAAGAACCTGATAAATATTGCAGTACACCTTTAAGGCTTTGAATGATAATAGGCCTGCGTTACGACCCAATGGACCCAACACAAATGACCTGAGATGGAGTAGCAATACAAACATAATTAGGCTCCAGCAAGTCAAGTCTCTCTAAACAACAAGCCACGGCAATCAGATATTTTCTAGGAAATCTAGATCAATCGCTGTCTATTTCCGTCCCGAGATGCTTCGGCTTAATGTGTACGCATGGATCACCAAGGATTAGTGACTAGCCTATGCGGAGGGTCCTTTGGCCTTTTATTAAATTACGTTTAAAGCAACCTACTGGAGTAAACGACACAGTTATTGCATTCAATCTAAATGTTTACCGAATTTATTGCAATTATGGTTATTAAATCTACAGGATTTACTGAGGCAGGAGGGTCTGTGTATAGAAAGTCAGTCGCGGGGACTTATTAAGGAGGAACGAGGATGGCAAATTAGCTTATGGAGGGAGAATGATTTCTTTCTTGTGTTAATTTGTACACTAATCAATGCAGCCTTTTCCTAACTGTGCTGGGCTATTTGATTGTAAAGCAACTTTAATTGAGAAATGGAGGCCAGGCTGTCCAGACTGGGGGCGACTTTCGATGGCACTAATGATGCACACTCATCTTCTAGTGTCTTTATGTTAAAGATCAAAGAGGATGAAGCAGATATGGCCTGAATGGCAACAGATGAAGGGAATCAGTGAAAGCAACAGGCCACATGCTTGAGGACTCCATCAAGGACTTTGGTGCTTATAAAGGATAATACAGATAGAAGGATCAACGAGCATTACAAAAATCTAATTAGTATGAATATTTGTACATCATTTAGTAGTGTTATTGCATTCAAATGTTGTGAAAATTTTTGTTTAATTTGATTAAAAAATATCAGTTGTCATTTATTAGTTTTGATTTTATGTGTTTCATGTCACAATTTAGAAAAAATAATAAAAATGTACTAAAACTATTTACTTATGGTTCTATATTGTTAGTACTTACAGTACATATTTTATGTCCTTTATGTAGCATTTAACAAATAATATTATAACTACTATTTAATTAACATAACTGCTAAATCATAATATTAACATGACATTTTGATTCAGTCATTTTAATGTGTATTATTATTGAGTAACCTAATATATATATATATATATATATATATATATATATATATATATATATATATATATATATATATATATATATATATATATATATATGTACTATTATTATTGTTATTCTCATTATTACCATTATTATTATTATTATTATTATTATTATTAATAATATTATTATTTTACTAAAGTTTTGCTACAACTAAAACAAAGAAACCATGGAAATATGCTATTGAATCATGACAACAAATTCACTTTAATAAATTAACCACGTTATTTGTGGTACCATTATAATCACTGCCAAAAAATATTTATTTTATTTTACCATAATAAAACCATGGTTACTTTGCCCTCTGCTTTACTGACATGGTTGAATTTTTTTTATACAAAAAATGGCATACATGTGCTAACCTCTCTACATGCAGTCAACATGCTGTCAGAAATTACTTCTATATTGATTTAACAATAGCTTCATTTATTATGTTTTATCAATGTTTAGCGGGTTAAGTCAGTCTGGAATATATTTTACAGTAATGAATTGTTTAAAAATAAGGCAAGCCGGACAATAACTGCGAAGGGGAAATCAACGTTTTGACTGTGACTGAATGCTTTAAACACATGCGGGTCATTTAGTTGTTTTTGTTTATCCTCGCGCGAATAGCGCGAATATACAGTACATCGTAATGTCACAGCAGCAGATCAAACTAAAAGATAAACCAGTAAATTCCTCATTTTTCTTACCTGAGGGAACCAAATGTGAATGCGTAGCGAACAGCTCTACTGGGATATACACAGAGACGGTCCTTTACTTCCGCAATTATCAATGTGATAAATGATTGACTAGGTCTGGGGAGATAAACGTGTAGTTCTTACATGTTGATCAACTCAGTCCGCAAATGGAAGACTGTAAGCTATTTGAAATCACTTTTATATAACTGCAAGCCTGTATAGACTGTAAGCTATTTGAAATCACCTTTTAAATAGCAGTTTATATGTCCAGATGAAATTTGATATTTTTCTTATATTTTCGCCATTGGCCTACTTCAAGTTTGCCTATTTTTGCGCAGGTACAATGCTGAATATACGATAAAATGTCAATAAAAAACATTATAAATTGGTAACACTGCTGGAAGTTAGTGACACGCATTTGATATTAAATAATTTATTGGAGCAACTTACATCTCATTCTTATACAATATGACTAGGCTATATGTATATGTATATATATATATATATATATATATATATATATATATATATATATATATATATATATATATATATATATATATATATATATATATAAAGTAAAAACAAGTTTGTGCATTTTTAAAAATATATTTATTTGTTTATTTATTCACAAATCAATATTATTACATATTTCATCTGAAAACACGTTTCATTAACACATCATAAACATACCCTACACTTTAATTATGAAATGTAGGTGCAAAACTATAAAAATCCACAGAATAAATATTATTCAATCTCATGCTTGCACAGTAGAAGATGAATAATCTATGTACATGCAAAGGGAGGCTCCTGTACCCTCGTAAAGCACAGTGAGGTGGAACAGATTAGGGCACAGCCAATTGCGTAGCATAAGAATACATCAGTCTGCATCGTCTAATGGCAGCCGCGCAGTGGCATAATCCTGATGGATTCGACTCTGTCATAACTTTCAGAGAAAAGAAAGAACACAGAAACAACAGCAAAAAAAAAAGCATCTGTTATCAACCCTACTTTCTTGCTGGAGCTAATAACGCACAAGAAGATCAAACGCACAGGAACTAAACAAGATTTAATGAACATAATAAGGTAATGAGACCTCTTACACTCATCATCATTCATAAAAAACTGACAATGAATCAATGCTCATGGCCCAGAGCAGGCGCCCGCCGCTAGTGTACACTACACACGTGTCAATGAGAGACTAATGGATGCCATCTCAACTGAGACTTGCTGTGTCAGTTTGGCTCAAAACCAAACCGCCCAAAAGCCGGAGAAAGATGTGTGGCAGATAGTGAGATCTCTACATGTGTTTCATGTCACAATGCCAAAAGAACATCAGGTCACGCTGAAACAGATATAGTGAGCCTTTGTCAATATTTACAGGCCCATCGAGATGCTAAAGAAACATGGCAGCACCTAAAATTGGCAAGTCACTCACTATCCATTGACGTAGTCCCCGAATGAGCTGAATGAACCGTCAATTACTCTGGCATAATCTTTATGCGGCGGATGCCCTTCCTACCACAACCCAGCACTGGGAAACATCCAATCCAGGCTCATTCTGATTAAGCATCTCCTATATATTTCTTGAGAGAGCAAAATATGTCCCAGGAGCTGTTTTTTTTTTTTTTTTGCAGTTTTTGTTTTCGCGAATTCACCAGAGGCAGCTGTGTATGCTTTTTGAGATCTCAAATTTCTCTCGCGAGTGTCATTCATGCCTGCTGTTCTCAAGTAAATGCACCAGAAGCCACTGCTGTCTGACTGACTTACTGACTGACCAACCGAGCAACCCCCCACCCTCGCCCTTCCCTAAACCCAAGCGGCAGTGTTTTAAAAAGCAATCCAGAAAAAGAAAAGCCCTCACCTGATTTTTACCACATTCTCACCCTGTTATTTACTTGTTTATTTTTAGCTTTTGGTTTTGTCCTAGCTACTGTACTTTCTGGAACTGTTCTTCACCAGAATTGTCACGGTCAAGTCCTCTCTGCATCTCAATTCCACTGACTTACATGCCGAGCTACCAGACAACAGTGGCAGACCAGAGGGAGGCTGGGCAGGGGCCACTTGTACTTCTAAGCGGCACACTTTAATATACATCACAAACTACTTAAACAATTATTCAGTCATTTTTTTTTTTCACGCATCATTCTGCAGTCTTCATAAACAAGATAATTAAATAAATAAAACTCAAAATAATCTTCCATGTTAGTTTATTTGACAAGTAACTTTGTATTGTAGGATAACACATTTCTAACATTTGAGTACATCAAGGCACATTTTCACACCTATAAACTTTAACAGATGCAGTTGAAGTCAATTTTTGTTTCCTCCCGTTAATTTAAAATAATGTTTTACAAGTGATCTTTAACAAACCAAGCAGATTTTCACTTCGGGAGTAATAATAAGTCTTATTTCTTATAGTTTGTGTTGAATAAAAGCAGTTTTTAATGTTTAAAAAACTATTTTTAGGCCAGTATTATAAGCCTGCCTAAGGAATATTAACTGTATCTTTTTGATACTCTACACAACAAACCAGTCATACAATAACTTGACTTCCAACTTTCCTAGTTAACATAGGAAAAGTAAAGTCTTAGTAAAGACTTAGTAAAGTCTTTAAATGACACTTTAATCTGAATCAAAGTAGATAGAAGACTTACACTGACTGTCACTAGGGCAAAGATAATAAAAAATAGTTATTAGACACGAGTTAGCTAAACTAATATGTTTAAAACGTGTTGTAAATAAATCCTGTGTTGAAGACTCGTGCTTCAAAAAAACAAATGAATGAAGGCAAAACTAAACCAGTTGAATGTGACTTTTACAGGAGCGTGACTGCAAACTACTTTTGATCAATGTGTTTCATCAATCTGATCTCTGCTACTTTTGCCGACTGTTTGTATCGGTCTCAGTCATATCTCCGCAGTCTGCCACGGATGGCTGATTTCGCTTCTCCGTGGCGTTTTGAAACAAAAATACACGTCCAAATTTAGGGGGGTATAAACAGTTTTTATGATGACCCAGGGACAACTCTATCAGCCAATCAAACGTCATGATGTCATCATTATGTGCCTCCTGCACAGCCGCAAAAAAAAAAAAAAAAAGGAAAGAAAAAAAAAATGCAAATTTTTACCAGTGAAGAGGACAAGTGAAAAGGGTAGGATTAGAAGTTTTCTCCTATCAATTCACAGAATGATCATAAAATTAATATTTGTTTATGGATTTGCTTTTTTTCCAGCTTAGCGAACATTTAACTTTAGTTTGCATCGACAAGTTAGCCTTATTGGCCGTCCATACAAGTCTAACGTTAGATTGATGTGCTCTAATGTACTTTCTGCCTCAAATTAAAACAAGATTAATTTTTTAAATAGACAGATTTTTTAAATAGTGTGCCAAGCTAGCAAATGCGATTAAACTTGGTCTTTTTCTAAAGTGAGTGCAAATTTGCATTATACGTCTGTTTTAGTATACATTATGCCACTGCAAATTTCTGTTGCGTCGCGTTCAGTTTCATTCAAAGACAAAAGGCTGAAATGCAGAACAAACAGCACTTGTTTAAACAAACGAGAGTATTTGAGACGCTAACGTACTGTGAGTCGATTATTTATTCTGTTAGATATGAATATGTTGACCTCAGGTCTAACTAGCCACTGGATCGCCCCTAGTTAGTTTCAAAAAATTCAATTTCTGTTAATTATTCATCCTCATTTTGTTCCAAACCTCTGAGAACTTTGTTCTTCTTTAGAACACAATTTAGTTGAAACCTGAAAGCTCCCTCTACATGTAAAGAAAGTTCGCCAAGTAGTACAGACCTTAATATTATAATGGCTCTATGGCAGCGGTTCCCAACAGTGGGGTCCCAGCTCACAAGGGGGCCTCAGAAAGCTCTGTGGGGGGTCGCGTCATATTTTTAAAATGTTTTAGCAGTGGAAATTAAGGAGAACAATCTCGTTGCCTCGGTTCATTTTATCCCCTGACTGACCAAAAAATGGACAAATTTGTAATTAGTTCTCCACAAAAAAGTCCCAGGTGAAGAAGCTCCAAACATTTCAGGTCGCTGTCCCTGTTTATCCCGGGAGTCTCCTGTATTTCAACCTACTACCCCCTCCCGTTTTGTTATTTCTCCCGGAAAATGTCGCCCCCACCACCCTGCACACCCCTTGCCCAGTCCTCAGCTTTTTGGTACAGTTTAAAACACTCCCGGGTCACCGACTTAGGTATTGTATCCGATCACTGTGGCTGCCTGAAACGAGGCCGTTACTTACCCGGTTCACAGCTGTGTTCACCCCTCCTCACCCCTGAAACAAAGCCACCAACAACCCAACCTCCTCCCCCCATTCCCCATCCTGCAATCCCCCCAAACCCCTCCACCTGTCCTCAGTTTTTTGATACAGTTTGAAACACCTTCCGGGTTGTTGACTTAGGTATATTATCTGATTGCAGCGGCTGCCCGAACCCCGGTGCATAGTTAATTACCCGGTTTTCAGCTTTGTCCACGCCCCTCACCCCTGACACCATGCCACACCCACCTCCCCCGGTCCTAGGCTTTTTGGTACAGTTTGAAACACCCCCCTGGGTCATCAACTTCGGTATAATAGCCCAAAACCCTGTTCATAATTACTTACCCGGTTCTCAGCTGTGTCTTAGGTAGGTATAAATATGTGTGTGTGCCTGTCTAAAATCTCCACTGTCCTGTCCCATAAAAGTAAAAACTGCTAAAATATTTTATTAAAAAAAGTCTCTAAATACATAGTACTGTGCAAAAGTTTTAGGCCAACAAAGCTAATGGTGATGATCTAACAACATCGAGCTTTGTTTTTGAAGCTTTGGTTGCGTACTTGTCTTGTATGAGTTGTAAGCACTGGTGCCTCCTAAAACAATTCAGCACAATAATACAGTAAAAGCCAGTGATTTCTTTAACCATACGGCAGCTTACACAGGCTGTCAAGCGATATCTCACGCACTTTCTGCAGTACAAACATCTCCACTAACTCCCCGAGCTGTTCTCCTTCATCCTGCTGTGTTCCAGTGTCAGCTGAACTTCTCAATGTCACACCTGACTCTCCTGACAAGG